TAGCCGATGACAAGTGCGTAACCGGCGCGCGCGCATGCGCGCGCCGATTAATATACTGGGGACTTTTCGACCATAGGGATTTCCTCATCGCGACGCATGCGCTATCCGCGCGGCGAGCGACCGTTGTTAAACGTGGAGTCTATAGAGTCTCCTATATAGAAGTCGGTAAAGGTTGTGGAGTCTTAAATCGTATTAAACTGACCAATTCTAATTGAGTATTATCCTTAAACCGGTTCTACATTAGTTGCAAGCTGATAGCAGTTTGTTGCGACAGCCAATATGAAGCGTTGATTTCAAAATGCAAGCTTCAGATTGGCTATCGCAACGAATTTGCAATCAGTTTGCAACTAATGTAGAACCGGTTTTATATTTGATTGTGATTGGTTGGTTTCCTACGACTTGAGACTCCACGATCGTCTATTAGCGTTTTTGACCCGGCCAGGTTTGCACCAACCTGGGTTGGATTAATCTTTCCTATTGGTTGACGTCACCCGCCCTACCAATAGGAGAGCACAAAACGCCATTAATCGGGCCGAAAACGCTATATAACTTCTATGTATAGAGGACCCTTTATAGAGTCAAAAGAGTCGTAAACATGTCGTAGGAAATTGACCAATCGCAGTCAAATATGAAGAGAATAGTTGATTATGATTGGCGAATTTTCTACGACTTAAAACGCTACGATCGTCTACCCGCTAATCATGAAACCGTCAAGGAACATTTTACAGCCCTTCTACAATAAACCGCAAGTCAGAAGTTCTAAGCGATCTTAAGTCATAATCGGTGAAATTGGCCAATAACCAACTTGAACGATTTGGTTAAGACTGGTTAAGACTTCTGATGGTCTGACTTGCGGTTTATTGTAGAAGGCCTATCACATTTTGGCTGTACTTAGCAAATTTATGACGTTTTATGGCTGCGGTCAATTTGGACGATTTCAGCGCTTTTTAGTATTTTTATTTTTATTTTACGTCTAATAAACGATAAAGACAGAATGATGATTACAAGCGCTTAAAGCGCGTGAGCGTCCAAATCGACCGCAGCCTATATGTATAGATTTATAAAAAAATCCTGTAAATTATCTAAAAGTAACGTTTTATTTGCGTTATTCTATGGAACGTGTCGGAACGTTGCATTTTCGTCTTAAATATCCCATTTGAAAGGTCACAAAAGAAACGTTTCATGACGTGGAAATAACGTTTTGTGTAAAACGTTTTCTATGCAACTATAAGAACATTGCCTCAACATTACATATACAATGTTTCTAAAACATTCACTTCGCCATCCATAAGCAGTACGCAGTCTCGCCATTAGATGGAAGTGACGGTGTCGCATTTTTCGTAATTAAAATCCATCCGCGAATAGAATAAGGGCCTCTTTCACCAACTCCGATTTACTTTCAGACATAGATAAACGTACTAAATTGTCAATAAATTTTGAACGAAAACAACAGCGATAGTTCTTCCGAAGAAGATGAAGTAATTATGGGATCACTAATGTCCATTTCTATCAACGTAGATTAACTTTAATCTCGGTTCAACTTACTCTTCGTCTTTTTCTAATCTTTAGAACTAGAAAAAGACGAAGAACAAGTTGAACCGAGATTAAAGTTAATCTACGTTGGTGAAAACGGTAATTATAAAAAGACGAAGAACAAGTTGAACCGAGATTAAAGTTAATCTACGTTGGTGAAAACGGGCATTAATCGATTAACTTAATCGATCGATTAGTCCATCAGAATTGACCAATCTCATTTGCCATTTTGTTTGCCGATAGATGCGATTGGTCAATTCCGATGGACTAATCGATCGATTAAGTTAATCGATGTTGGTGAAAGAGGCCTTAAGAAGCACATCATAAAATTTATTTTATTCCTGTTCTGATAAAATGATTTTTTGAAGGCATCAATTAAGTTTTCTTATGAATATAAACAGGATTTACCTTGAAATTTAGAAAATTATTTTACAATTACAATGTTATCTTAAAGACAAATTTTCTTTTATATTTTTCCTAAAGTAAGTTTTAAGATTACCTTAAATAAAAGCTATAAAGCAAGTGTCCAAATTTACGTTACAAAAATGTTATAATTTGTAAATTAAATGTAAATCAAATGGATCATTTCTTAAGTTCCTGGAACGTTATAGAAATATTGTAGGAACTATAACTCTGTAATGTACCTCTAACATCACAAGTTTGATAAATGTCGCAGATACGTTGCAAATGTGATGTCGCATATGCAAAATAAACGACTCAGTTTTTCCTTATAGGACGTTACCAAAACATTTATGCGACAAAACGCAAAACATCGGTTATAACGCAGCATAAAAAAAACGTTGTTGCAATATAATTTTGTTTAGCGGATACGACTTCTATTGTGGACTCGGCCCGCAAAAAGCGAAAACAATAAATGGAACACGAGCAACGCGAATCGCACGGTTGTCACCGGAAAAAAGAGTAGCGATATTATGGCTGTGTTCTGTTATGCACTGCAAGTACTGAAAATCTATAGTACACGTTACGTACACTATAGATTTTCAGTACTGGTAGTGTATATCAGAATATATATATGGCCTTAAAGCAGGAAATGAAAAGTTACTTTTTAAAAGTAACAAGTTACAGTTACGCGTTTCCGAGTAGGAAAAGTAACAAGTTATCGTTACTAGTTATCAATTTTTAAAAGTAACTCGTTATGGTTATCGTTACTTGAGAAAGTAACTTTTCGTTACTTTCCATTATTTTTTTTAAATCGACGCCCGCTAATCACAGCGGACGGTCTTAGGGGCTTCTCTATACCCGTACGGAAAAAAACTATTAGAACGCCAATAGTAACTAATGGAATGCCAATAGTAACTATTAGAATGCTAATAGTAACTATTGAACGGCAATAGTTATGAGCATTCGACACTACTGCATTGAGTACTGTAACATTAGTAATAAATAGTTCCCACTACACAATTATAAACTATTGACCAGTATAAACTTTTAGGATGTTATAGTAAGAACTACTAGTAAGAACTACTGAAATAACCACTAGTATAGACATTTAATAGTTTACACTACTCTCATATATACTAATCATTGAATAGTTCAAACTAATAGCGTTTTCGGCCCGACCGGGTTTGCACCAACCTGGGTTGGATTAATGGCGTTTTGCGCTCTCCTATTGGTAGAGCGTGTGACATCAACCAATAGGAAAGATTAATCCAACCCAGGTTGGTGCAAATCCGATCGGGCCGAAAACGCTATAATAGTGTGTAAAAATGGGGAGGATCCCGTTTGCCTACAGTTCTGATTGTGTGTACACACCACTCATATCAACTGGTGCCTAGTAATTTTTCACTGTTTTGCCAATGAGATTATTTTATTTTTAAATTGGCCAATCAGCGATACATGTGTGCAATATACGATGTGTGCAATCGGAGCCCTCCCGCAAAAATGTAAGAAATTAAACTAATAGTGCACATTCTATACAGTATATACAATTGAATATTTCTTGCAGCATTCAATAATGTATTTTCTTCAGTATGTGTTGTTCATTACCGCTGAATAGTATTGTTAAGCCATGGCGATACTTTTTAGAATTTTTTATATTATTTCTCACAATTTTTACGAAAAGTTTAAGGTTTTCTTAAATTTTTTAAGTTTGTACAAATTGAAACATTTTTCGGAAAAAGTTAGATCAAAAGTGAAATTTTCAGAAATTTTCATATCTACAAATACTGAATTATTTACAGAATCCGCATCTAATTATTTCTGACAATAACTGAGAAATTTTGTATGATTTTTTCAAAATTGACTGACTTTTTCTGAAAATTATTTCTGTTATATGCCACACGTATAGCTTAGATTTGTACAATACAATTATATTTAACATTAATTATTTTTTTCTATATGTTTTCCGTCTCTTTCACATCTTCGACTAGATATGTTACAATTATACGTCCATTAGCATTATAGGTGTTCATGGTCGAAGGAGCAGTTTCCGTACGATTGCAGAAGTCAAGGATGCCAAGTGGAGGTTCGTATTCGGATGGGTGACCACATGGGAGCATCATAAAAATTAGTTCCCGAATTCATGAAGGAAACTTTTTTTTTTTATAATTTTGTCGTGTATCCTCTAAAATATGATACTAAT